ATAGAGTAGTGTTTTAGGATTTGGTAGTAGGATTTTATTTCTGGCTGAGAAACTCAAGACTCGTGGAATTTTGGTCGGACATTTTGGTAGTGACTTGTATTTTACATTTTTCAAATTTTTGGCAAGGAATGGGCTAAAGTGTCCTCATTCAAAGCAACACACCACATAAACAGTTAAAGCACACAAGCAAACAGATAAATATCGCGTCCTAAACATACTTGTGACCCTTTTTATGCCAAGGGTAGGCCTAGCGAATTGAAGGATGTGTATGTCTTTTTAAGCCAATTCATTATCCCCAAAATATTTCATTAATAGCATTCAAAAATGTTTGATAAACATAAAATTGGGTAAAAGAGTTCGGAGGATATATAAAAGCAATCCCAACACAGGGGATGATAACAAGTTTCAAGCTGCCTACGGTCCTTCGTCAAGTCTAGTTCTCTTGGCGGCACTGACTTCTTCCCATATGGAGTATCTATATTTCCATAAATTACCTTTGGCTAGCGGAGCCTTCTCTATGGATTGGATTTGTAGCTCCATGCTATTATCTAACTTGGACATGCACTGTCTTGATTTTCGTAGCTCTTGCTTTAGATGGGCTATGACTTTGGCATCCTCTGGATGTCGATGCTGATGAGTCAACTCATTTTTCTCATACTTCTCTTGAAGTCGGTGGAGTCGAACCTGCTATTTCGTGCCAACATTTGCGATATGATGAGGGACATTTGGACCGGGATTGATGGTTCCGGTAAGGTTCTTCTTCAACCATTCTTTGTACTCATCAGATCATTTAGGTTGAAATCTATTTGGCACCAGCTCACCTAACACCCTTCGAGTGTTCCATATTTGAAGTGTCTTGTAGAAAAAGTGACTTGACCATTCTCATGATGTGTTGCAAATTTTCTCGAGCGGAAGCATAAGGTCGAGTCCTTCTCAATACGACATGTAACAAGAAAGGGATCCCTTCACCTCAGGTCACGACTTCTCTTGTTACCATACTTTCAATTGACCATTGCACATTTTCTTCTCTTAATCCTAGAAGTCTTGGATACTAGAATTTTTGACCCCCCCTTTCTATGGAAATGGTTAAGGTGTAACCACCAGCTGTGAAATGAAAGTTTGTTTGTTCGAATTTTGGGATTTGATTCTCTGAATCATGGGCTTTAAGCAACTGTTTCATCATCCACCATTGAAGTATCAGGTTGCAACCTTGAAAGAAATGTTGAGCGCTTTGACATTATCTAAAGCCTTGTAAATGTCGGCAAGAATCATGGGCGCCAAAGTGTAGTACTTGATTACCCCGTAGTCTACCCCATTAAAAATGGCACGAGTGACCATTACTACACTCGGATGGATAGTATAGTTTGGTCCCTGCGGAAATACCATCGTCCCAAGTAGGCATATCGCAAAGGCAAGAGGACGTGTCTCCTTCCATTTCTCTTCTGAGAGAAACTCTTCTTTGAACTTTTCATAGGCTCTTGCACGTCCGAATCGGTAATAAAGCTTTCGAAGCGGAATGTTTGGACTTGCTCTTGAAGGTTTCCATCCTTCATGGAATAGTGATGGGAGGTGGACTTGGTGTTTCTGCACATGGTAGATTTCGAGTTGCAACAGAGAAAACGGTATTGCATCTCCTAGAGTAATACATTCAATTCTTCAATCTAGCTATCAGTATGATTGGTATCCACATATTCTCATGTTCATTTTTCCTGTAGGTTTGTGCTATGCCTGAAGCAGCTTTGGGAGTCTTTCCTGATGTAGGTGCATCTTACTTTTATTCGAGGCTTCCAGGATTCTTCGGTAATTCCACTTGTAACACTGTTCAGATTTATAAAAGAATGTAATGCTACATATAATTTCTTATATTCTTTGGCAGGGGAATATGCTGGTCTTACTGGTGCTAGGTTGGATGGTGCTGACATGCTTGCTTGTGGTCTAGCAACTCATTTTGTACCCTCGGAGGTATGATGCATTAATATCCAGAATGTTTGGAAATGCTTCTATAATTGATTTGTGTATCTTGATATAAATCTCCACTCAGGTTGCATAACATTTATCTAAACCTTGAATGCTTTCTGATCTTCCTTCTCTTCACAGAGATTGCCATTTTTAGAACAAGAATTAGTTAAAATCAATACAAGTGATCCAGATGTTATTTCTGCCATCATTAGCCACTTCTCTAACATACCGAAGTTGAAAGCAGAAAGTCCTTATAACAAGTGAGTTCATTCAATATCTCTGTTATGGTGTTTGTTGTCGTGCTGATTTATTGGAAGATTACCTTCTAAACAAAGCTCCAGGTCCTATAAGAGGATTTTTTTTTGAACTTTTTAAAGAGCATAGTATTGATGATGACATATCACAGAAATGATCTGTACTCTTTCTTATTAGTGATTTTGCTTTTGTGTTACTTTTCTTCCTGTTCTCGCAAGACTATATATGTTCGCTCTACTTTGTATATGGCCATTAGAAGTTTCAAGTTCTGCAATTTTATGTATGTAGGATGAGGATTATTGATTGCTGTTTCTCTCGAAGAACAGTCGAAGAAATCATATCTTCTCTTGTAAGTTTGAGAGATGGATGCATTCTTTTGTTTTCTGCGGTTATGTGATGTGAACTTGGAAACATGAATTATCAACAGGGAAATGAGGCTTTGAACAACAAGGATGACTGGATCTCTTCAACCATCCAATCAATGAAGAAAGCATCCCCGATAAGTCTTAAAATTACATTGAGATCAGTAAGTCAATTACTATTCGGTCCTAGTGCCTTGATTTGGCCAACATTTTCATTGGAGTTGTTGAGTATCTGTAGATTAATTAGTTCCATTTTTTCTGTTTCAGATACGACAAGGGAGGCTGCAAGATGTTGGTAGTTGCCTTATTCGAGAGTATAGAATGGTTTGTCATGTGTTTAGGGGAGAATTCAGCAAGGATTTTTTCGAGGTAGAATCTTTCAGCCACCCATTTTACTGCATTACAAAACTCATGACAACTTGAGTTTTACTGCAGGGATGCAGAGCCATACTCATTGACAAGGACAGAAATCCCAAGGTACGTTACGATTCATTTGATCATGAATAATCCTCAATTTAGATATCAAAAGCTTTTTTCACATGTTTTCAGTGGGAGCCCTCCAAACTGGAACAAATTAGCGATGATGATGTTGATGGTTACTTCTCCAAGATAGAGGATGAAGATTGGGAAGACTTAAAGCTGCCTCCAAGATCAAACTTGCTTCCATATGCAATTGCCAAGCTTTAAAATTGACTCCTGAATTAGATGCTGCAATACTCTCTACAGCTTGTTGCTCTCTGATCACTACATCATTATGAAGACCCAATAATTATTCTACGTACAGTATTTTTTAGTTTTAATTTTTGATTTTGTGATCAATTTAGTTGAAACACAATCATACAGAAAATTCATCCACATCACATAACACATTTCAACTTCCCGTAGGAATCAGTCCGTCCATCACACGGTGATCGTGAGTGATGAGTATCTTCCCCTGGATATTTTTGTCATTAACACCATAGTTGTTACCTACCCTCGCCTTTTTATTCCAATTTGGCAATTTTCATCAACACCATGCCTGTCATTTCTCCGATCTCATTCTCTTCCTCAATCATCAATTAAGATTTGTTGATAATTTTTGTATTTTGGGTTCGAATTCTTTAACTATTTCAAAGAAAATAATTTCAGATCTGTAGTAGTCTTGCAGGAAAAAGTGAAGATTCACCGATTTTTTTAACTCAGTCTGATTTATTTTATTTTTTTATTGAATTTCCTTCAACAGCTTTAACTCTTTTGAATTTTTATGTTTTGACTGTCATTTGTTTATTGGGTACTTTTTCGACTAAGATAACCACATGATATTGGTGATGACGGAATGGTAGTAGAAAGGAAAAATGAAGGATTATATAGAAACGGGACAGTGGCAAAAAAGGATTCAATCGGTGAGGAAATGTAGAGGATTAAGGTGGTTTGGAATTGGGGAAGAAACAGTGTGTTAGGGATTTTTCTATGTTCAAAATTTTGCTAGACTTTTTAAATGTTGGAATGTCATTTTGTGATTGGTCTGAAAGTAAATTTTCTTGGGTTCACGCGCTTCTTAGGGGTGTATCACACGTAGGACGTCATGTCATCAGAAAACTTTAATAGGTGAGTATATGTTTTGAACAACTGAAGTGTTCAATAGATACAAATTCTAGTTGAGGTGTTTCAAAGAATTACGCAAACAATTTTAAGTGGTTATCGATAACTTAAACTTTTAAAAAAAAAACTTGAGTGACCATTTAAGACATTTACTCAATTAGGCAAAGGGTGGTTAAGCTATTAGGTATTTACCAACCATTATAATTTACAAAATAATGATATTCACTTTAAGGTAAATCCTACATCATAATTGAAGAAAAAAGTGAAGAGCTTTACAAGTTTGTTTGGTAGCCTAGAAGTCTGATAGTCCTGCTTAACCCACCCATCAAGGCGTTACCTCCCTCCTCTTAGGGACTCAACATCCTCGCTAAACTTTGCCTCCATTATTGACCCACCCTATAAAATTCTAGTTAGATTAAACGGATTATTTATATTTCGGATCATATGGAATCTCTAGGTCCTTGGTATGATACTTTTCCTATCATAACAACTTCCAAGTAATATGTTTGTAATATTTTTCTTCTATTGATAGTTTGTTAATACTATTTTGTAAGTTCGCTTAGTAATTGATAAAAATTTACTTTGCAAAATGATGCTACTAATAATATCAAATGACTAATTAATTAACCGGTGTATTTTTTTTGGTTTCCCACCCGGTGTCCGGAGCCCACATTGGAGTTCCGACTAAATCTGAATTGCGCTTTGCAGGGCCCATTCAGGGGTGGAGCTCCCAATATATGATTTTCTCCATACCCAGGGTTCAAACCTGAGACCTCTGGTTAAGGGTGAACCACTCCCACCTGTGCGACACAACCCATGATGGTAACCGATGTATTATTACCATATGATGTATGCGTAAAAAGTCAATTAATATGATGTATACTGCAGAAAGCCAAAAGAGCATTAATTTTGGATCGGTCGTCTATAATATTTATTTATATATCATGTAAAAGTCAATAATATTTGTAGTCTAGCTTATCTAATGCTATCAATCTATTGAAACACGTTTAAATATCCAATTGCATTACTATGATTCATGTTAGCATTTCCCTAGCTAATAACCTTTATATTTGTAAGCAACTCTCAATTTGATAAATAGGGTATTAATTGCTTAAGTTGATCTTTTAATTGACAAAATACATTGTTCACATTTAAAATCCACCATTGTTTTCTTGCAATTTTAAAAGGAAAAAATTAAGCGGTTAAGCAAACATATACTAGTTAATTAGTTAACATAGCTATAGTTTGCGTTAATTACAATTCGAAATTTACTTCTAGCTATAATTACACTCCTCTTTCTCGCCTCTCTCTCTCGAATTTCGCTCTCCTCTGTTCTCTTTTTCAGTCATCTCTCCCTTGCCTCTCTCCTCTCCCTGCCTAGTCTCTCTCTCGATTCTCTTCTGTCAATCTCTCTCTCGCTTCATACAAACACAAATGTATAGTTTGTGTTTGTGTTTGTATAAAGTAAGAGAGACTGGATATACAAATACAAATACATATCTCTCCGCCCTATACACTTATAATTATACAAATACAAATATTTCCCTGCCCAGTTTTCTTTTGTCTCTCTCGCTTTATACAAACACAAATTATACAAATACAATATGTAGTATCATGTTACATATACCATATGATGTATAACGTAGAAAGTAAAAAAGAGCATTAATTTTGGGTCATTGGTCTATTGTATTTATATATGAGGCAATGGGATTACAAAAGATATGTAGAAATAATGGTAAGTGGCAAACTTGTGCATATTAATGCAGGAAATGGAGAATGCAGTTATGCTAGCAATTCCACTCTTCAGGTATGAATTCTCTGTTCTACTAATCAAACTCTGCTTGTTTGGAATTGAGGCGTAATTGTAATACAAACTAAGTAATCAATTCAATTCATTTTTCCTAAATTCCAGAGAAGGATACTACAAGAGGCAAAACCTGTTTTAGAAGATGCCATCAAGAAGTTGTTCAACAATATTGGTGACTTTCCCAAGTCGTCATGTTTTAATATGGCAGACTTGGGTTGCTCTTCAGGACCAAACACACTATTCACACTATCAAATATCATAAAGATTGTACAAGTTTTATGTGACGAAAAGAGTTGCAAAATGCCAGAGTTTCAAGCTTATCTGAATGATCTCCCTGATAATGACTTCAACACTATTTTCAAATCGATTCCATCCTTCTATGGAGATCTCAAAGATGAAGCAAATTGTTTCATATCAGGCGTTCCAGGTTCGTTTTATGAGCGGCGTCTATTTCCTAGCAAAAGCTTGCACTTGGTTCACTCATCGTATAGTCTTCATTGGCTATCTCAGGTATCAATGAATGATCATACCAACTCTCTTTTTAGTTAAAATCTTTAATTGTATGCAAGCCATACACAATAGTTGTGGTCTTTTATTTGTCATATTTTACTAGATATACTGAAACAATATGTAGGCTCCTGAAAAGATTGAGAACAATAACAGCATATACATAACAAGGACAAGTCCTCCTCAAGTATTTGAAGCATACATGAAGCAATTTGACAAGGATTTCTCAAGGTTTCTGCAATTACGCTCCGATGAGATAGTAAGTGGTGGACTTATGGTTTTAACATTTGTCGGAAGGAGCATTCCTGATCCCTATGGAAGTCTCTCTGCCTTTCTGGAACTTCTATCAAAGTCACTCGTGGATTTAATACATGAGGTCCACTATATATCTCGCTTCTGCTTTAATTTCTTCCAGTAATTTGTTAAGAGAGTTTTAACTTTAGTATACTGATCGATCGATAATGCATGCAGGGGATTATTGAACAGGCAAAACTAGACTCCTTTAATTTCCCTTTATATGCACCATACAACGAAGAAGTTGAAAAGATTGTTCAAATGGAAGGTTCATTTGATGTTGATACCATAAAGTTTTTCAAAGTGAACTGGGATGAGAGGGACAACATTAATGATGATGATGTTTGTTTCGATGCGTATAGCAGTGGTAAACATATAGCAAGAACCATGAGAGCTATTTCAGAACAAATGCTTGTTAGCCATTTCCAATTTGGAGATTCCATTGTTGATTATTTGTTTGAGAGATATGCCTACCATTTGACTTGTCATTTGTTGGTTCAAAAAGGCAACTTCTTCAACATTGTCATATCTTTAACAAACAAGAAATGAGACAACAAGATGTTGCACTAATAAGCTGTTAAAGATATTTATGTTTAATTTATGTTAATGTCAATTCCAATGTCTTTGAGGGAGTGATAGTTATTGTTATTGAAGAATAATTTCAGAGATTGTATTACAATACTCCTTCTTCTCTCCCTAATTACTTGTCCACTTTTGAATTTATAACTTAAATTTTGTAGCTATAGATATATATATTTTTTTGTAGTGTCACTAATGATTTTTTAAAGAAAACAACTAATGTTCAACGTGAAGATGTTCAATAATATGACAGACTTGGGTTTCTCTTCAGAACCAAACACCCAAAAGAGCTGCAAAATGCCAAAGTTTCAAGCTTATCTCAATGATTTCCCTGATAATAACTTACAAAACTATTTTCAAATCGATTCATTTTTGTACCTCATTAAACAAATATTTATAATTACAAATAATTTTACCTAACTTCTTTTTTGTATGATAATTGATAGGGAATAATGTGTAAAACATGTTCATAGAGACTAGTTATATTGAAAACATGAAGGTCCTTAGAAATGTTGTTTGAATTTTTTTTATCTTCATTAAAAGACTTCGATTTACACAATCATTTTTTCACAATTTTCCTGCAATTATTATGTCATTAGTTTAATACTAATAGTAATAAGTTTTGACTATAATAAGCATAATCAAAATATAATGGATAAGATTTTCTTATTAGGATTAAATTACTAGTAATTCCCTCAAATTATTATTTAATTATCTAACGATTTTTAAACCTATAATAAATAAATTTTTATTTTATACAAATCTTTTCCTTATTTACGTGACTTTTTGGTTATTTTATATTAATTAACACGATACATAGGTGCAAAGCACATACTCTAAACTAATAATTTACAAAATAACGATATTCACTTTAAAATAAATCACACATCGTGTAGGAAAAAGTAAAAAGTTGTATAAGCCAATTTGCCAACCTAGAAGTCCGATAGTCCTGCTTGATCCGCCTTTCTCAACGTCCTTGTTGAACTTCGCGCCCATTCTTGAC